TACTTTTTACACCCACCGGTGAATTGAAGTAATTATGTTGAATCAGTTGCTAAGTCTCCTGCTAGGAAAGATGTTTCACTGTGTTTCACTGTGTCATACCAAACCATTTTCCAGTCACATTCCATCTATTTATAAATAGGTCCGAGTATTAAATTCATGCTCCTTCTATGTAGAGATTCTTGACAATATCCAAAAGACGTGTATATAATTGAATCAATCCTGACCTGGCATCTCGACTTCAGTGATTTTCCCAACTCTATGATATGGCTTCCCTGTGTCTTTTCAAATAAATATATTTATGGCATTTGTTCTGATGAAATTTCTTGCTTGGTACCTCAACTGTATGAAATTAAGTTTAAAACTAGGTCTCATCATGTCACTATTGAAGTAGCAAAACGAAATCGTATGTTCTATTCTATTGTCTCGAACTTCTCGTCTATGGAACTTCTCTCCGGTGTCTTGTTTGCTTGCACCTTCAATATTAAAAAAAAAACATATTTAAAAGCAACGCCACTCGTCATCGTCTGCATTCTTGAAAACCGTTCTCCTTACTAATGTATTTTCATTATTTCTCACTTACATCCTAGTGGCATTAACGCCTTACTTGGTGGGAAATGATTTAAAAAAATATATTTGCAACTTTCACTGCCGTAGAGTGAATTCTTGGGACAAGAAGAATAAAAAAAAATAGACAGAGAATAGCATAGAGGTAATATGTGAGCAATTAGGAAGTCTCAAAGAAAGTGAGAGCTAAGATATACTTATATTTAGAATCAGAAAGAAGTGAATCATCTTGGAGACAAAATGAGGAAAGACGTCTTGGAAAATTTCACTCATACATGTTCACGACAACTGAAACATATGGAAAAAGTAATCTACGAGTAATCTACATAAGAAGTTTGCACAAAGGGTAACATGTGCAGTTGAAGAGATGGATAGCGACACAGAATTAAAAATCAGAGAGCTTATTTGAAATTCCAATCGGGTTCATTTCATCGACGGAAGAACAAAGCTCCTTGGGAATGATTTGAATCCATGTCCTTCCCCAGGCTATTTGTTAAATACTTAGTTTTGTGTCGGGGGGAAAAACATCAGCGGATGGCAGATAAGGAAATGGGAGAGACGTTTAAGGAATAAGCATTTCTTACCGCTCCCTAGAATGCGTAGTTACGGGAATCATTATCGCCCACGTCCTAAAATTACACTGCACATAACACAAAAATAACGTAAATAATTGATATTTGTGGTCCATTCATCACTGCTATTGTTTCTAATACACGTTATCTGCTTTCATTTTGATGCCCATAACATTAAATGTGTCTTTTTAAACTGTTCCGTAATTCGTTTAATACAACTCCATATCGTTCTGTTTATATTTTCTCTAATTTTGTCAATGCTGGAATCGTCTAAAGACGTTAATACTTCTATTAAAATCTTATTTGTTTTGCTTCTTTGTTCCTGTTTATCCTGGCTAGCGGTGATGATTCTTCAGATTTAAACATTTTTGGCGTTTCATATTTTTGCTACTCGCAGAGATAGCTTTATTACGCACGCTTTTAATCATTAATTGGAAATTATGTTTAATAATATTAATAACAACAATAGCAATAATAATAATAAATATTCTAATTATTATTTTATTAGACGATTTGTGATATGTAAACTTTGGGAAAAACAATATATGCAGATGACACATTGTTGATAGCATACACAGAAAGGAAACTACAAGAATTCCTACAGAAGTTAAGGAAGAAAAAAGAACGCATGGTTGTCAACAAAAAGAGCAACCCACAATGAAAATTACAAACTGGAGATACCAAAATCAAACAAGAACAGTAATTGAAATTTCTGTGTAGTGTTTTAACAGAGGACGGAAAGTGAAATCCGTATGTTCATTGTGATAGCGAAAGATGCCTTTCAAAATCTAAGTAAAGTATTAAGAAAGAGAAAAAAAATCGTTAGAATCAACGAAAAGTGTACTGAATTACTTAATATTATTCCCCCTATAGTGAATGCTGGGCAATCTCTTCGAGACTTGGAACAAGAGAAATATACTTCTACAGAAGGATGTTGAAAAACACAGGATCAAAACATGTGATCAACAGCGAAACTTTAAAGAAAATAAAAACAAAAAAGGACTTGAATAATTAACAACAGGAAGAGAGATTTGAAATTTCTAGTGTACATAATGAGGAAAGCGGGCTTAGAAAATTTGATACCCACAGGAGAGATTGAAGACAAGAGGAACAGTAGCATACAGTTCATAACCTACCTAACCCGTTTGAGTAAATGAAAGGTGGAGTAAAGTTTAGGAGAGAACAAAAAGACAAAACGTTTTAACAGCTACAAAAGATATGAAATTGAGAAGAGCCATGATTGTCAACGTCCTGATATAAACGGCACATCGAAGAAGAAAAATAGACCATTTAATTGTTTTAATATTTTTATGAAACATTTATACTATTCATAAAGTTGTTATTACTATTAGCCTTTATGCAGTCTGTGTGGGAAAGTTTCTGATAGAGGGCAACGCATTCTGAATGACGGCACTCAGCTTGTACAAAACGAGCACAGCCCACGCCGTGACAAAATAACCCTCCGAATAAATTGCGAATTATGCAGGAAATTATTCCTCAAGTATGCAGAGAATTATCACAAGAATTCATCGCCGTCTGTAGCTGCAATTGAGCAAGTGAAGCGTATGTGAGATACGACAATCTGGACTATAAAACACTTGGAGGGCAATCGTCTTGACATCACATTTTTGTACGAGAGCCTGCATGAATGGCATATGATAAACATACGGTAAATTTGGATAAAAGCCCCGTGAAGGTTGGGCAGGAAAAGTAACAAACCTGTAGGTGCAAATTGTAGAAACTAGTTACGCAGTAGTTCAATATCTTCCCTTCCGTATTTGGCGCATTCGTGACTAAGTCCAACTATCCTTGAGACTCGTAAGACAATTTGTAGAGACCTGAAAACATTGTAATTACGAAAGTAGCAGTGTTTTGCTTTGTAACAGCACAAGGGCTTGGGGAAGTCTTGCGTATGAACTGACTTATAACCGTAATCACTCGGTCGAAAGTCGAACGGGATTTCACATACTAACAATAACAATAATGATACTATTATAAGATGGTTATGACGGCACTTGGACCCTTCATTACGTAATATTTTCTTTAAATCCTGAATTTGTAAGTTACTCTTGGTCTGTCTGTGGTACAAGGCGCTGCAATGTTTTCTTCCGGACGTGTAACTTGCAATCTATTTCTATAATATATATAAGATACTGCCAAACACATGTCTGGGGTAGATGTTTATACAACTGCATATTTTAAAATCATTTCCATGATTGCAAAAGTGGATTCAGGTGGCAAGTCACGTTTTGAAGGAAGCAGATGTGCAGGATTAATCTTCAGGTTAATCATGCACCTATATTTTTGTGAAATTGAGGGTAAACCCGTTTCCGTCATAACACTAAAATAGTATAGACATTTCTTTACAGGTAAGTGTAGCTGGATGGGGAAATTTATCCACTGAGCACCGTATAAACGATTGCTCATAAACCAAACAAAAATACAATAGAAAGAAACTGGACTCTGGGAATGAAGAATAAAACATCAACTACGACTTTAAGATTTAAATGGATCACACAACACAAGATAAGTAACTAGGATTAATTTAAGTCAATAAAGATAAAACAGTTAACAGACATTTGTTGTCAGGACAGTCGTTTTAGGATATCACTCCTTAAATTTATGAGGCGCATATTAAACATTCACTTCACAAATCTTCCTTAATTTTTCCGTACTCTTTCAAAATTTAGATATCTTTTCACTTAAGTTATGCTTAGGATTCTGACAGAAAAGCAAAATGCACTAACAAGTATTTATAATAATAATAATAATGATAATTATTATTATTATTATTATTATTATTATTATTATTATTAATATTATCGTTGTTATTGTTGTTTCTAGTTTTACCGTTGTGGTGTTAGATATAATTCTTTACGAAGTCACCTTAGGTAGAATATTTTTTCTTTGAAAATTACGCATACAAACATTGATGGCGTTTCCTCAGTATCTGCCCAATAATCATGTGGATATATATATATATATATATATATATATATATATATATATATATATATATATATATATATATATATACTTATCTCAGATGGTGACAGTTTTCCGCGGTTTTCCTTAATCTGTCTGCTAGTATTCCTTTAAATTGTTCACAGTGACTCTATAATTATTATTGGAATAGTAGTCGTACTTGAATGCCACTTTCATATAAATTGTATTCCTCTAATAATAATGAGCCTGTCTGTGAGATAAGCTGGTATGCATTTTCAATTCTTTCATTTCAATATGTAGGAAGCAGATACGACTATAATGAATTCTAGGAAACTAATATATTTATTTCGTAGTTAACGTGTATCCATATAATTTTTCTTGACCTAGATAGCGTTATAATATTAGCATATCTTCTAGTGAAAGTATTTACCTAATTTCTCGAGTCTTTATTAAATTCATTGAGGGTAATGGTAGGACACCCAGTGTCATTAGGTTCGTCATCATGTGTACATAGTAAAATTTTGGATTGATTTCATTGATTAAAATATGTCCCTGTCATAAGGTTGGTGTTAGGATTTGATCTTGAGCAGTTAGAATTAATCTTTCATTTTCTGTTTTCGAACTAGAGCGCTACACCAACTGATAGGTTAGGTTTTTCTCAACATCCGGGGCTTGTGATACCAATAGTTTTAAAGTATTTTCACCAATTTGGTTTTCAGTTCAGATAGGATCTTATTTTTTTAATGCCATTGCTCTTTAGTTTGTATTTAAGGTCTTACATTTTGTTTGTATAATCGTATTATTATTATTAGTAGTAGTAGTAGTTGTAGTAAAAATAGTAGTAGTAATATTATTTATAGTAGTCGTATTAGTATTACGTAACGCATCTATATCACACTGAAACATACAACATATCCCGTTGAAACATCGCTTCTCGTACGATCATCGAAGTTAAACAACATTGAGCTTGGTCAGTACCTAGATGGGGGATCACTTGGGAATACCAGCTGCTTTGGATGTGCAGGTGGTGTAAAGATAACGGCTCAGAATTGGAAATCGGGGAGCTTCGTTCAATTTCAGTCGGTTTGTTATATCCACTTACGCCCTTGGGAAATGTATCAATACCACTCTTCTCCACACCCTCAGCTATTATTTAAATATTAGAACTGTTATCGGTAAATCATTATTATTTCAAAATATCTTTATTTAATCTAAAAAAAAACTTATGGCTTTACATAATCAATCAATCAATCAATGCAAGATTATTATATTTACTTGCCGGTTTCACTCCAAAATTACAGACAAATATGAACCGAAAATATAGGCAACGACTTAGATTTAAATAAAATGTAAACAAAAAGGACACTTATAATTAATATCAGAAAGTTACAGTTGAAATATCTGTTGTTGTATCCTCCTCTTAGGAGTCTATGTTAGACTCTTCCGCCTACTATAAATTTAGTAGGAGAGAACGTTCGGAAAACAGTGAAAAGTGAATGGATTGAGCGCTGGTTCATTCGATACACTCTTACTAATCGTGTGATACTCTTCTGGTGTACTTATTGTTTAATATACGATATATCTGCAAACCTTAACTATTTTCTTGGTCAAAACAATATCTAGGGTATATAATGAGGAAAGAGGGCTTGGGAAATTTGATACCCACTTGGGAGATTTTCGGGACAGAAAAAAAAAACGCGTGTCCCAGCTATTGAGATTCAGTAAAGAGTTTAACAAAAAGATAAAAATTATTAGGGTCTAAAAAGGACATGAAATTGTGGAGAGCCATGATCGATAACGTCATTTAGGGGTACGGCACATATAAGTAGACGAACTACTAGTTATTATAGTAACACATTAAACAACGATCAGTGGGGTAGACTATATTAAGTTTTAACTTAGTATAAGTCGGAGTGACCACTCCAAGGGGGATAATTAGATTTTAGTATATAGACTTAAAAAAAAAATACAATATGATCCCTGTCAATGCGGATACATACACATGTAAATTATATACACATGTAAATTATATATTTATATATAGTAAACATGTACACATATATAACTTAACAGACAAAAACCTGATTTGTTTTGTTCTTCGTGTTTTTTCCATCTTCTTAGAGTAACCTTTGATAAAGCCACGTCTACAATCGACAGCCATTTTTTTTCTTTCTTGATTCTCTCATAATCGTCATCCTCAGTTTTCAAATCTGTATGTAAAATTATTTTTTCAAAGATATCCTTCTTTTATTTTATCGATACCATTTTTCTATGGTGTAATAATAATAATATAAAAAGTAAGAAGAAGAAGAAGAGACGGAAATAAAGTCCTAGGATAGAAAATTGAGAAAAAATGTACTAAGCTGCAGCTGAGTTTGTCCTTTTGTAGTTGGCGCAATCACAAATATTTCCAATAATCTCTGTCTATTTAGACGTCTTTGATATGGATGACACCATTGGGAGTGCGCTAGTCGCAGCGTTGCTTGGAAGTATTCATGTGCTGAGGAGAGTGTTGTGTCTCCACACTGCAGATAGGATCTGAAATATGATTAATCTTCACCCAGCCGAAGCATCTAAGAATAGGAAAGAAAATGATTTGTTTTGATGAAAATATAGGATTCAGTACCCACCAAAAATGTGCTTTTAGTTGTCCAAAGTATTGGTTTAATAGAAGTTCCTTTATTTAAACATAAATTCGGCCGTTAAGGAAACCTATGTTTTAGATTTAGATAAATGAGGACACTGATGACCCCTCGAAGAAACTGTCTGATTGTACTGGATCACGAAACCTGAAATTATCAGACCATCGCAAAAGTTTGTGTCAGATTTTCATTGTTAATACTAATGACTGCAACATGACACTGGTGTCTGTTTGATGACGATTTCTGGTGGGTTCTAGATTGAAACCTTGCATCGGTCACTTGTGTGTCAGACTTAGTTGAATGTTGTTTGTCCACAAGTAAATGCCTTAAAGATGGAGGATGAAAATTAGCGCTTTCGCCATATCATGTTCTGTGAATTTCGAAAAGGATTAGCCTTCAGAGCCGCGAAAAATACACCCATAAGTTTTATTTGGATCGGACTGATGATCGTAGACCGGTCAAAAAGTAGTTTGGCAGACATCGACAAGTGATCTTAACCCAAACTACCAACGACAGTAATGGCGGCATTCCAACGCCCTGCTTACCATTGCGGGGAATAAAGCGAAGATTTCGACGAAGATATTGGCTAAAAGTTTGAAAATCGATATCACAACTGCTTATCCCCATTTAAAGATCCTTGAGCTCAGGAAAAAGGGCAGATTTTGGCAAATTGAAATGGTGTCATTTTTCACTTTTGCAATGTTTCAGTACTTCTTGGTTTCATTTGCAAGACTATCCATTTTATTTAATTAAAACTTGTCCTTGTATTTGCAAATTTGGTTCAAATGCATGTGTCTTGTAGAGTTTCTTGAAACTGGGTGTCTTTATATTTATATCGGGCTTCCTATATTTGTACGTTATCATTTATTTTGCTCCATATATTTGTCACTTAATAATAATAATAATAATAATGAGCCAGCTTGAAAGGCAAATTTTAAACGATAAACAAAGGAAATCAGACGTGGGTTATCAGTACGGGACGAGATTTCAAGAAAATCAAATGTCTCAACACTTAAATGCACGAAGATCAAGCGGAGATATTAAATTAAATTACCCAGGGCTGGGCACCTCTTCAGTATAATTTTCCTCAGTTGCCCCTCTGTCCTTTAACAGAGAAGATCCTTAGCGCACTCTGTCTAGGGACAGAGACGCAACTGAGAGATGATAAATAATGTGCATAAATTAATTAGAGTAATTTTTTATTCTCTCAATAACTGCATTGTATATTATCTACTTCTAGGCATTATCACTATTCACTTTAACTAATTTGCATATTGATTTTAAAAAGTACATTTCATTAATTAATTGTTCTTTATTACTTTTGTTTTATTCAAGGATTGTTTTGATTTTCATATAAATAATTGTCATGCTTAAGAATATTGTCTTATATAGTGCAGAAAATATTTGAAATTTGCATTTTACTTGGTCTTCAACAAGATGGCATCTATTTGTAAAACTTACCTTAACTATAACAAGTCAATTTATGAAGGAAATGTTCTTTTAAAATTTTTTGTTTCAAAGACTTCAGGTAGTGAATTTATCTTACTTTACGAAGCGATAGCGAGCGATCGAATCCTGCTAGTAAACTATGTGAGAAAGAAACGAAACATTATCATTTTACTAAAGACACATTTCAATTAAATTTTTCTAAAGGAAATTGTAAAAGAAATGTTTAGTTGTTAGCAAGCGGAACATCCCTAGATGCGATTCACGATTTGGATATCTGGAAATCAAGAAAATGTGTAAATTTAAATATCAGGCAAATGATTTAAAATATGTGACGGAAAATCTGAAGTCTCATTGTTATAACGAAAGAAATCTTGGAAAATCAAGGAAGTGTTAGGAACCAAGAAAATTTGTTAGAAACTAAGAAAATTGTACTAAACTGTTATGTAGTATTAGTCCTCTACGACAGACACTGTTGGACAATCTCCACACAGGTGAAGAAAAACTCGAAGCCACAGAAATAGAGTTTTATAGAAAGATACCGAGGATACAGTTGAACAGGATGCATTAGTAACGGCGAATTTTTTTATGCCAAATGGAGATTAAATCGGCACTTTGACTTAGAACCAGAACGAGACTTTTGAAATTTCTAGGGAACATGATGAGAAAAGTCTGCATGAGAAATCTAACACTCACAGTACATATTAAATGTAAGTAGGCCAGGAGAAAAAAGCGAGTAACCTACCTGAAGAAGCTTGTGTAAAGTGATGTTAAAATAGGGATTGGGTGAGATAGCAAAAAGACAAAAAAAAAAACTTGCTAAGAGACAGAAAAGAATGGAAGATGTGAAGATCCATAACCGTTCACACACTGAAAGGAAGTAGTAGACCGAAAAAAAAAAATGAATGGATAATTTTGAAAACAAATTTCCTTAAATTTTCTGCCTGAATTTCTCAAAGCCCACAGGCTTCAAATGTCCTTTAGTTTACATATTTTCAAATATTCATTAGACCTCTAACACTTCAAATTGTTCCGTATGAAGTTTTTGTCGGTTATTTATGAGATTCGGGAGGGTTAATTATTCAGAGATCATTATTCGTATTATAATTTCATGCATCTGTATTTGCACAAAAGTCTCCCCTGAAATTTAATATTTCTTTACCAGTATTGGCGCAAACCCCAACCGCACCAGATTCTGATTAGTCAAGGCTTCCTTGAATTGCTAATTCACGCGGTCTTGCCTCGGGGGTAATTGTCAATGTTCCAAGTGTGTACTCTTACACGTACAACCCTAATATAGCTTTTTCCATAATTTTCTTAATTCATGGAGGTTATCCCGCATTTTTACGAATTTTCTTTTAATTGCGTCATCATTATTATTTTTTTCGGATGGTTTTTGTATTCAATCATAGATCTGGGACTACGGGTCCTCTCTCTCTCTCTCTCTCTCTCTCTCTCTCTCTCTATTCCTTTCTCTCTCTCTCTCTCCTTTACTCTCTCTATTCCTTTCTCTCTCTCTCCTTTTCTCTCTCTATTCCTTTCTCTCTCTCTATCTCTCTTTCTCAATTCGAACGACCAGGGAGCACGTTTCTCAGAATATTTGCATTGTCAAACAGCCCAAACTATGGAAGCGACGTCGATGTAGAACTTTATTCCGAGTCTCACTGTGTAGAAATTTAAATTCAGTGACTCCAATATGCCATTCTTCTTAATAGTATTTTTCTTCTTTTTATTATTGTTTTCTTCTTCTTTTACTTCTTTATATCTTCTTCTTCTTCTTCTTCTTCTTCTTTCTTCTTCTTATTATTATTATTATTATTATTATTATTATTTTCTTGCTGATGTTGTTGTTACTATTGTTATCAATGTATAATTTTTACTCATTGTTTGAGTTAATAATTTAAGTCAAGAAAGGCTTTCTGAGAAAATAATTGAGAATAATATATTGATAGCATTTTTAAGTGTATAGGAGCAGAGAAAACGAACATGCATAATGTCTTTTTTCTTTTAACAATCAGCATTTATATATATATATATATATATATATATATATATATATATATATATATATATATATATATTGTCATCCACAGACAGATTGTATCACAGCTCATCAGTGAGGCTAGACATCCGATTGCCTCAAGCCAGAATCGAAACCCAACCGATTTGACATCAGTCAGAGATTTTTCCCCTAAGCTATCAGCTACCGGCAGAGACGAAGATGAATTTTTACGCATTTATTTTCGAACAAATACGTTGGGAACTCAGAGTGCTCAATTCATAAAAGAGCTCTGCATTATCAGCAGTAGCAGTCACTGTTTACAATTTCGCGCTTTCCTCTAAAGTGCTCGACCAATATATATATATATATATATATATATATATATATATATATATATATATATTATATATTTCATCCTCCTTGGATTTACCAATTCGGTTTACCAAATTCTTCATAACTTATATATATATATATATATATTATATATATATATATATATATATATATTATTATTATTTTATTATTATTATTATATTCGTATATTTATAATTATTATTTTAACTGAGAGAATAACAAACTAAAATATCACCGGGATACAAATATACTATCCCCAGTACGCTCATCATGAGTTCTATTTTGATAAATGTTCACTTAGTAAATGGATTACAATCAATAAAATTAGCACCTAATCTTTAGAAGTAGTTCGAGATCTATTTACCAGGTTCGATCAGGCGGTTTTCGATTTAGTGTATTCCAAGTTATATGGAAGTAACTCCAAGTTCCATTTAACTACTTTAGTCTTCAAACGTAAAAAAAAAAAATACTCTGGACACACGGGCGTAATTCCCACTCACTCGCTGATAAGCTTTAACCGCTATTGGACATGCCCAACTGGTTTAGGTCAAGTCACTGAAAATTACATCTGTATTACAGGACTATTTCCTGTTGCACATCTTAATTCGTCGAGACGAGACATGCACATTTCTAATAAGTAAATATCAAGAAATATTAGAACCATATCAGCTGTAGCAATATCCAGCTATAATTAGAGTTTTCTTACAATGTTATCTCCAAGAAAAACATTTTATACTCGTCCTAGTATATCTGTTACTCTTTGTAATGTGATTATTTACAGTAAAGTTTGGATTCGAACACGTGTAATAACAAATACAAAATCAGAAGATATCCTGTAACTATTCATACTATTTACATTGGTCGGACTGTTGTTCTCATCTTTATTGTCATATTCACGACATTTCGGCCGTTGTACGCTCCGAACTTCCTCAGATGTTATACGTTTGAATTTCGAACCGAAACCCTTTATTTAGTCTACGGGAATAGGTTGTGCTAATTTCACGTGTCATGTCTGTTCTGGAAAATCTGAGATTCAGTTATCTCCCTTTAGTAACTCAACTCTCTAAGTTTTTATTCACCTCTTCAGTAATCAGGTAGCGAACTCGCAACTGGTTGGGTCAACTCACTTTTTTTATTATTTCAAACAGAAAAGTTATGGCACGTGGAACTAGAGCAATCTACCCACGTGGTTCGTGGCAAAGGGTTCGATTGGAAATTCCAACTGAAGAAGATCGGAGCGTATAACGGCCGAAACTTCGTGAATATAACAATAAAGATGAGGACAGTCCGAATAATGTAAATAGTTACTAAATAGAACTAAATAATAATAATAATAATAATAATAATTTTGTGGAGGAAGAGGAGGATTGTGGTGCTGGCAGTGGTGCAGGATCTACTGATGATAATAAATCAGCTCTGGCGGTGATGGTCATATTAATAATAACGACTGTTGTGGTGAAAATAATAATAATAATAATAATAATAATAAAATAATAAAGACAAGGATAATCATGGTGGTGATGGTGGTGGTCATAGTGTCAGTAATGATGATAGTAATAGTGGTCGTGGTGGTGGTGACAATAATAATATTAAAATTGTTGGTGCTGGTGAGGGTGTTGATGAAAATGATGATATGGTGGTCACGGTAATATTATTAACGATCTTGGTAGTGGTGGCATTGGTAGTTGCGGTGCTGGTGTCTATCAATACAGATATATAGAGAGACCTCCAGTAATCATAGCTATTTCGAGTGCCTCTGGTACTGCACTGAGCGATCAACTTCAATAAGTTATTCATTGAACCCACGTCGATAAAGCAGACTTGGCTCGGCTAGCATTTGAATTATATATAACGTTTGTTTTTTAAAAGATATCTCGATTGCTTGATTTGTGGAAATTGTCAACAAGTTTTTTTTTTTCCATTATGTTTTATTCATTCAGGATAACAGCCTGAACAAGCGTTTATATCACGAACGTAGTTTTCTGTTTTGTTTCCCCCGACACACACACTTTTTCTCAAAGAATGATCTGCCTTAATAATTCCCTTCAACATCGGTGCATCTGGATCAATAAAACCCTTAAAAGTCTACAGATTCTATAAAATTCTTAATTTGGAATTTCGATTTTCCTTGTTTGTAGTAAACTAAATTATTTATGTCTTTTCGGTGTTTATTCTCATATCTCTTTAATATATCTATTAATGTCCACTGTAGATAGATTTAGTAATTTAAATAAATTTGGTTGATTTTTAATATCGGCGAGGTGGCATGATTTCTTCTCTCGATCGAAACCTCTTAGAGATAATATTACGATACTTGTTCAGTTATACATGTTTCTTTCTTTTCTTTATTCAATGTACTTTAGTAACAGGTCGATCATGGTCCTTCACATTTTCTTGTTCTTTGGTGATTTTAGTAAAACTTTGTCTTTCTGCTCTCTTTCTTTACCGCTGTTCTGCCAAACATTTACACAAACCCGTTACATAGGTTAAATGAAATCCTCTCTCTCTCTCTCTTTTTTTCTCTCCCCTCTCTTACTCTTGCTTTTAGTATGCCCTGTTATGCTCTGTATATATAAAATTTTCTAAGCTCATTTTCTTAATTATTTGCCATAGAAATTTCAAATGTCTCTTTCTGAACTTAATTATAATGCCATTTTCGCTTCCAGTCCCTCTAAAATTCTGCCGTTTTTCAAATATTCAGTGCGTGGTTTCCTTGTCATCCTCAGAATCCTTCTGTAGAACCACATTTGTTTTGCCCCAATTCTATTCTTCATTTGTGATAAGATTGTCCAGCTTCAATTTCCATTTGGAGAACCGATATTACATAACAGTTCAGTTGTCTTTTCATTGATTTTCTTGAAATTTACCAGTTTCCTAACGTTTCATGAGGTTTTGAAAGGTATATTTAGCTATCTGAATGCGCCTTCAAATTTCGGTGTCGCCCTTTATGTCAACTGTTAAAACAATTAACAGAGATTTGAAATGTCCTTACTAAATCAAAGACGTTTACTTTTTAACTTGAGGAATGTTATTAATAATTACAATTTGTCATGAGCGAAAATTGCCGTAAACTTAGCGCTTCAGTTTAGGGACCATTACTGACATATTCATGTGTACCATAATATCTTGCATGAATTTAAAAACAAAAATCTACATAAAATATTTCTTAGTAGTCATAGTTTTCTAAAAAATGTTCATTAAATTTTTCACAAAATTCAAATCAGTATGTAGCTCTGTGGAAAAACTTACTTTACAGACAGGTAAAACAATATGGCGTTCGTAATTAACTGAGGGGTAGTGTACTATGATATCATGTGAGCTAGGGTGTTCGATCTTCTTCTTTATGTATGTATCCCTTCAGGATGTAGACTATCATGGATCTCCACTCCCCCTATCCCTTGTAGTTCTTAATATGTTTTGTCTATTTGCCACTTCTCCCAAACCATGTTCTGTCCTCTAGTTACGTAAGCCCGCTAAGTATGACACGAATTGCTTTCTTTTTCTCTCTTTCACGCTATCCGCCCTGTGAGTTTCAGATTCTCTATACTCTCTTTTCTCATTACGAGTCCCAGAAATTTCAGCTGCCTCTTCCTGATTTTAAGTATAAGTTTCCTCTTTGTATCCTCTCCAAAACATTATAGCTGTTCACATGTTCGCTCCATAGTATCCTTAGCAACCATCTGTAGAAAAAGACCTCGAGTCTCTTCTTCATCATTGAGGAGATCGTTCAACACACGCTGTCGTAAAGGAGGGCAGATATCACGTAGGAGTTCAGTAATGTTGTTTTTTGTTATCAATGAAATCCTCCTGCCTCGTAATAATCTGCCTAGCTTTTGGAATGTGTTTTTTTGGCTATCTCAAGACGTCTTCGTCGCACTTACCTTTCTCTGGCAGAACACTTCCCAGATATTTAAATTTCCGCACCTGTTTGATTTTAATATTCCCGACGTAGGTATAGCTATAACACATCAATGCTCAGAATCCCCAAAATAGAATTGATGACATTAATATGTCAAATAAAACTTATGCATTAATTCTGGTGTTGAACTTGTGCTAAGTGAAACCGCAGATTTGAAAATCGTTTATAATGGGTTCAGCTGACCAAGACCCAAAGACTGACAACAACTGATGTTTAGAGAAAATGTCCAACTACACCAGCTCTAACAATAGGTTCATATTAAGCAATAAGCATATCTATATTTGTTGAAGAGCATAGCAGATAATGCGATTATATTTAATATCCGAGAAATAAAGAACAACTTCCACTTCAATTAAAATCTTACTGACATTTCTTCTATCTTACCCCACATAGCCTGATGCTCAAGCGAATATAGCAAGCGAGGAAAAAAAAAATATATAGACTCCTTCTATGCATACGGTAATGATTTTCAGCATCGTGTGAAAAGCCGTGAGCGTTTTCAGCTGTTATTAACACAACTATTTTCTTTGCTAACTCGTCCCTTGCCAAACAATAATGAGTTGCAGGCGTGGACTTGCCTGTGGCGCGAAGCGGGATCTTTGTTCCTGGAGCGATTCCCAGTAAGTGGGGAAGCATACAAAGAAAAGACAGGAGAAGAAAAGAAAGCGACGCTAAACGGGCGAAGAAAAGCAATGGTCCTTAAGCAAGTAAATGGCGTAAACGAAAGATAGGGCTGTTGTTAAATGATCGTTTTACGTAGCGTAAAATAACTGGTTATGAATACGGCTTGAGTGAGTTTCTGTAATAGCATCAGCCTGCAACTGGCTGCCACCACGGCAAGATGGCGTTAATATCTTAAGGCAAAGAAACTCCAATTACTTCTGGAGTAAAATTGGTCTACTTTATGTTAATTTGCTTGACACGAATCCTAAAATTTCGATGCAACGATTGTTTATTCTGAATGCGATTGGATCCTCTCAATATTGGAACTCAGACGTCACACCTTCGGCAACCACCGTAGTTAGAAGAGATGATTTTACAAAAACTCCCCCACATATTTTTTTTTCGGTCAGCATCATAAGTTAGTACGATATATCACATTGGTAAAGATAATGGCAAGAGTTTATTCAAATACTAATCGCAGATTAAACTCCAAAGGCAAGGAATTCGATCTGTGTATTTTGATATGGTTAATCGTTATGTCCCCCAGAAAGACTGGGAAATATAGTAATTAAATAATAGTAGTTCAGATGTGGTTGGTACAAAACTGAAATTATGAAGCATATATATATATATATATATATATATATACACATTCGTCTATTCTCTTCTGCAGGTCTGGTCTGTTCATATATATTATTACATTCATGCGTTGGCCACTTTCTCGGCATATATTTACCATAGAGAAATACGCCAGTTATCTGATGCCCGTTCGCCTATCTCTCAACCTTTTTATTTTCATAATTCCAGATGTCGTTTCTCTTTCTTTTTTTTTTTTTTTCTTCGTTATTTTCGTACGTATGTAGCTATTTATCTATACACGAACACATGCGCGTACACGTGCTTTCTGTCTCTCTGAGTCAACCCCTCAGACTCTCTTTTCCCACCCCCACAGACACGCACACACACACACACACACACACACACACAGAAACATAAAGATGCGATGGATAAATTGTCTCTATGTTATATATTTAATTTCGCGCCATTCGCCTTGTTTTACTTTTTTCTTTTGTCGACTGCACAGTTTAGTACGAACTCAATTCATTACACCAGAAATTTGGAAACGGCATGCTGTACTACTTAGCCTGTAGCTGCAATACGAATGTTTAAGAGAATTTGGATGTCAATCTGAAGATTGTGCAGAGTTTTCAGAAAGAGTCGGAAGAGGTTAATGGTAACTACGAAGGTACGGCAGCTCAGAAAACTCACTGTGATCGTTCTGGTAAAAAAGAACTCACATATTTGTTGGTGAGGTCATCAGACTCAACACGGAGGCCTACATCAAGTGACTTGAGGGGGTAGTGCAGTCCTAGGTCAATAAATTGGCTGCTGGATGAACCTAAGTCTGGGAATAGGACTCTGAACCATGCCACACGAGCAGGAGAACGAAGTCATGTCTGTCCGACAATTTTTGCAAAAAAACATCACCGCTTACATCTGGCCACCTAACTCCCCAGACGCAACCCCATTGATTGTTATGCGTGGGGTGCAGTTAAGCGAGGGACCAACAAATCTCCTTGTAACACTGAAGATGAACTGAATCAAGGATTTTAGCAGCATTCACCAACTTAAACAAGGAGACCGCCCAGAAAAGATGCAAGAGATTTCGAAGTGGTCTGGAGGCCATCGTTGAACAAATGTCGATTTTATTGAATAAATTTCCTATATCTTTCAAGATATCTTTGTGTAATTTTTTGTAAATATATCTTTTAAAATGACATGTCTTTTGTTATTTTCATTTTTCGTAATTTATATATATATATATATATATATATATATATATATATATATATATATATATATATATATATATATATATGTGTGTATGTGTGAGTGTCCTGGTAAAACCTGAACTGAAAGAGTACAATTCAGAAGTCCGTAACATTTAATTTCAAATAGTGCTCAATACAAAGTAAGGCAATATTCTTTATTTTAGGATATTATATCTAAAAGCATGTCAAAATTGCTACATAATTGCAGTCGTGTTTCGATGCGTATCAACGCATCTCATCAGGCGATTTCAGTTTAGTGGCGATTGAACGATTGATTCAGATTTAAAAGCAAAATACTGCCTTTTTTTAGGAAAAAAGAAAACAAATAGAGGTATATAAGGTGTGTGGGCTGTACTCAGGTCAACCAATCGAGTGTGACGTACTTTAAATTTAAACTAAGAGAAGAAGCAAAAGTTAAGAAATTATTTTTCATAAATATGTCATGACCCGTAGATTTGAAATTAATTGCAGCAAAAAACGTGAAATAGGATCGGATGTAAATGGATACCTATTGTACATTAGACAATATCAATTCCTAAGAAAAAACGAAGTGGTAATCGAACAAAATGCTAGACAACTTATATGCTTTGTGTTTTTCCTACATAAAAACAGATTATAATTCATAAATATTTTTATAGTTGATAATATATATATATATATATATATATATGTATATATATATATTATAAATTAACTGATTTAAATGTATATATATATATATATATATATATATATATATATATATATATGCTGGTTTCATGAAAGTCGACTAAGAAAGCATTGCGATTAAGCTTTTTTATTATATTTCTCGTGCCTTCGTACAAGTGTTTCCTTTTTTGGGACATAATGTGTGTAAGATAATGGGAAAAAGATTTGTGGGTCAGGGCACTATTAGCTAATACATTAGACATTATGAAGAATTTTTATTTTATTTATTTATGTAGATTATTTTATATCAATAGGAATGTTTTAATTTTCGAATACAGTCAGCAACTTGTGATAGTCCGTTCCATAATTGATATTATTGATTGA